GGCCTGAAGCTGGCAGAGGGAGCGCGGCGCCTTCTGCCCGTCGCCCCCGGCCCCTCTGCCAGCTGCCCCTCCCCAGCTGATCCGCAGCCCGTCGCGATGACAGCTCCGATGTCCCACAGGCCGGCTCCTACACCGGGAGAAGACAGGCAGCCTTTCCCACACAGAGCTGAATGCATGAGGTGGATATAAAGAGGCCTTATTTTTTATTGGTGGGTTGTTTTTTTTTTTTTTTAAGACTTTATTTCTCTAACATGCTTGACCAAAAATTACAACAACAATCAAGTTATGCCAAAATGATTAAATAACCTTTAAGCTTTCATACCTCAAGTACTTTAAATGCTATTTTGAAGTAACAGCTGCTTTCGTATCCTTTTCACATAAAAATACAGAGTATTTTGAAGATACCTTAGGAAAAATTATTTGTAAGAGAATAGTTTATGGTCGACATAGAAATTTTGTTGCGGCTAATAAAAGGACCTCTTTCCCCTACTTTAACATTTTAGTCTCTTAAGTGCCGTGAGCGAATGTAAACATTTCGGACTTCTTTAACATACAGCCAATTTCCTGCCACATTTGTTTCAAACCACTTGAATTGTGACTAGCTAAGACACTTTTATTCTAACTACACACTATTGCTCATCTTCCCAGTGATGGCAGGAGTTCATATTCAACTATGAATTTCAGTCCTGGCTGATTTAGGAGCTGATCCTGCAATTTCTACACCAATAGTTTTGACAAAAGCGGCCCCATCTGAATTCATGGCAGACTGCTCATGCGCTTGTGAACTATTCACCCAAAAATCAGTTGCAGGACGCTGACAATCGTTTTGGGTTTCGTTTCAGGAAAAAGCAGCCACATTAGTTTCGAATCAAGCCACCCAACAGCTTACAAGAAATCACAGACCTGCGACTCATCGTGTTTTCTGGTGGTCTGGTGGTTTCTGGTGGGTCCCCAGCGTGAGTTAGTTACTGGGCTGGAGTGTCACTGCTCCCAGCAGCACTTGGAAGAGCTGCTGCCCATGGGAAGCCAGCGAAATGCAGTATTTCTGCCTACCTCGCTTAGAGTAGAGGCTGACATAGCCTGGTTTGGCAACACAGGTATTTTAAATTGTATATGCATATAGATTACATGCTGCTGCTACGTGAAGCTCGCATTTACATCCGTGTGTCAGGCAAAAAGTAACATACACAATTATCCACTGTATGGGTGCAGATGTGGGCTATGCACAGACCTGCCAACAACCCTGTATTGGTAGCGCCATGATTTGCCCAATGTATGTGAACAAGATCAGTATCTAGATGCCGTCAGCCCCAAATTCAGGATGTCCACGTTCAGAATACAGCAGTTAAATTATCTCCATCAAGGAGGTGCTCTTTGAGCATGGAGATGTTAGTTCAAGGCAGAAACCCACTTCTTGTAGGGCATTGGAAGCACTTTTATTTTTGATGGGTTTGTAATCAATCCTCAAGCTTCTGCCTTGGACGGGACTGAAATCCCAGCAGCTTCAACAGCTCCGTTAACCTGCAGGGAAGCTGCACGGCAGTGCTAGCGTGGCCACCTCACCCAGCTCCCGACACGTCCCCTGCTTTGCCTGGAGTCACATGCAACGCGACAGGTGGATTTCAACTCGTTTGATGATTTTGTCCTGGGCCTCCCACAGCAGTGTCCATGAGCAGTGAAACATCAATGACAGGTTTTGTGAGGCAACCCCTGCTCTCTACCCATTGGCGTGTACTCGTCACTCATCGCACTTATGCGACTACGCAGCTACCCAGAAGTGAATGCCCAAACTCTGCCTTGAGGTGACCCCTTCTGCTTGACATCCATAGCGTTCCCCAAGGACAAAAGGATGACAATGACATTGAATCACTTCTGACTGGGGCCAAATTCAAACCAGTAATCTCATCATTGGCTGCATGTCCCATTAACAGGTTTTAAAGAAGTAGTCCCAGTGGGTTTTATTTAAAATACCACTACTGAACATTGGGTGGGGGTTTTTGTGGGTTTTTTTTTGCTTTTTACATACAATCACATATCGCCTTACCATATGAAAACAGTTATATTTTTTTCTTTTTTTTTTTAAGGGAAATGTCATCATTTGTTTCACAGGCAAGTCCAGGTTACAAATTCCTGAGTTTATACTGCACTTAACACAGTCTCCCTTCTTGAATGTTGAGCTGTTTACAGCATGCCAGCAATATGCACCATTTCCCTTACCATCTGTAACGCCAGATGTAGTAAAACTTCATTTCAGTACAGTGAATTAGGGCCTCTGTTGCATTGGTTTTGAATAGCTGCAAAGACTTAGACCTGGAGGACTTGAAGTAATAGCTTTCCTCCTGTGACTGGTCATTCGTGCACCGTCTTTTATATTTGCCATGTTAATTAAGGGAAAACATCTTTACCATCATTTTTCTTTTACCAAGAGCTCACTGGGAAACATCTGAAATGAGGAAATCCTAGTCTAAACACTTAAGTTTAAACTGCAAATTTTCTTAAAGAAACACTCCTTTGAAAGACATTGTTCTTTTAATAAGTCCAATATAACGTACGGTATATACAAAAGTCCCTACTTGAGAGAGAGAGATATATATGTATATGTATATATATATATATGGAATGCATTCACTTTTCTGTGTTCACAAATATTTTAATGGTGAAATGTTAAAGTCTTGAATCTGTTCCTGGCACCAAAATGTCTTTGTTCCTCCTCCACCTTTGTCACTCAAAATTTATCTGTGAAGAGCTAGCAGGGAAAAAAGAAGGTGGTTTTTGCTTTTTTGTTGAATGGTTCCCTATTGGGATTCTCAGACAGCAATATAAAGTCGCTAATGTGTTGGGCACAACTTTAAATCCCCATTATAATCATGTGTTCCTTGGAGTAGGTAAGTCAATAACTATAGGTGGATTAAGTGGCTGGTAATTCACAGTGCACACAGATGCATTCACATACGTAGTAGTTCCATCAGCCATGACACCATAACCTGTAACAAAAGAAAAACTCTGGTTACTCTCATTATTCACGATTATCTTCTTTTTTTTTAATTATTCACCTTTGTCAGGCAATGGTAAATGCCACATTTATCACCCAGAAGGAATTTAAAAATTCTCTTCATGATAAACATAAAGGTCTCCTGCATTAATACCATCTTTGCCCTACAGCAGAACTTTTTGCCATCTTTTAAATTGTGGAAGAAAAGCAAAATGGACCCACACTAGCTAGTGGCTACAATATCTGGCAGCCAGCTAGCCAAACCTCCTTAGAAAGAGAGATATTTTTCTCTACAAAGCTTTTTTCTTAAAGCCTTCTCAGTTTTGGAAAGGATTAGAACATAGAGCTTAAGCAATTACAGCATTGAAAAAAATATACTTCTGATCATTTAGGTTTGCAGTCATCAGTGCAGCAAACTTTGGGCAATTTTCATCTTTCCACCTTTTTTTCTGTCCTGTGTTGTACATCTTTTAAGCAACCAATGAAGAAAAAGCAGGGCCTGACTAAGGGGAGTATGTGTGCATGTGCACTTGGGCGGGATTTGTCTAGTGGGAACCTCTTCTTCCCATGTGTTTGAACTTGTTAACCAATTTCAACCAAATTTGATGGAAAGACACTAAAATGCCTGCCCAGACAGAGAAAAAAAATGGCTTTATTAATGCATTCACTGACAGACAAGGTGAATTCATACCCTAAGACACCGTAACATTTCCACAGGAGAAAACACACTTCTGTATGTCTCACCAGTGGTGAAAAACCTTTAAGTACATCTCATGTCTGACTAGACACCCAAGCCAAACAATTCCAGAGCTAAATCTGCAGAAAATCAAACTTCCAGTTCTAATGCCTGTAGAAATACAGTGAAATCCTGTTTCAGAAAGTGAAGAGGCAGCCCTTTAACTGCCCTGGTGTTACGAAAAACAGACACACTCTCCATTGTCAAAAATCTTTTCATGAATGACTAGGAAAAAATATAAGCTTGATTACACTAAAACTAAAGGCTTAATGTTGGAAACTTGCACTGAAATATTAAGATCAATATGAAGAAATACATTCACAATCAGAAATATATGACTTGGGGGGAATCACGTGGTAGAAAGCATTTGTACTAAGATTCAATCTCACCACTAATGAAGTTAATAGCGAAACTTAATTCATTGCTACATGCACTAAGTTCCGGCTACTCAAATCCTAAGCACCTAGGATCCTACAGTTTTTCTGAGTGCAATTTTGTGTCTTATAGAAGCATTGTTAGTTGCAGAATTTACAAACAAAGAAACAGTAGCCAAATTCCTTTCTTTTGTGTTCCTTAAAATACCCTGAATAATGCAGGGCCTCCTGGACTCCCCACAGAAAAAACACACTATAATTAGGGACTAGGGAGGGAAGAAAACTCTGTCACATTCCTGTCACAGACATTTCTTTAAATCATTTGCTATTTGCCACAGAACAATTGTTCTGTGTAAAACACAAACTGCACGGAGGACAGTCAGCATTGCTGCTGGGACTTTCTGTCTCCTCGGCTACACATTTGGAGAGAACAGAATCAGCTTGCTAATAGGTTCCTTTTGCTGGAAGATTCCTAATGCTACAGTTTTCACTCCTACCCTACTGCCAGCAGAGTTTCCTTGGCCATGACCTCAGCCGAGTACTGGCTGTAATGGGCAAACCAGGATTTTAGCCAGAGTCCCTGCCATGCTGCTTGTCACTTCCATGGGTCGATCAGCAGCAAGCCCATGTGTAGAGGTATTTTTTGGCACAGAGAGCAGTGCAGAGGGGGAAACATCTCTTCTAAGCATCTCTTCGTCCTGGATGTTCAGTAAATGACTGCTGCAGATATAGCTAGGCTCAGTCAGGGGAGGAACTCATCTGTTCAAATCACGCATTCTCTCTACAAAGAGCAGCTTCGTTTGCACAGGCTGTCTGCAATGGGAATTCTCCTCTGCAGAGATTTAGCATCCCACTGCAAAACAGGCTATGCAGTTCCCCATTTGTTTTCTCTAAATTATGATAGTTAACAAGAAGAGTGCCTTGTTTCTGTGTTCTGATACCTACTGTGCCAACTGTATTAATTCACAAGATTTACCATTCTGTGGAAGTGCCATTCTTTTCTCTTGGGAGCCAAAGTTGGGCTTGGTCTTAGCAGATGTGATTTTGTTTACCTGCCTGAAGCTTCATGGCTTGCTAAGTGTTTGCTTATATCCCCTGCAACTCACTTGGCTTACGATTTCTGAAAAGACAATGAGTTTGAACTGTATTCACCAGCTCTCTTGTATGGCATCTGAGATTGTTATAATAGCAGAGGGTTAGGAAAAAATACCGCCTATGCATTGTTTGTTTAATCTATGATGTAACAGCACTTTGGACATTAACTAGGCATTAACAGGCCAATGCAGATGAGACACGAGGAGAATGGACGTATTCTCTGAGTTGTAAAATAATGATCTGAATGTCCTCTCCACCAGTTTTACACCAGCATGCCTCTCACCAATGTCACTCCTAACCTAGCATGGTGAAAGCGCCCAGCAACAAGTCAAGGCATTTCTTGGGAAGGGTAATAGTTCTTCACAAAACCAGAAGTATCTGCGTGCCAGCTACTCCAGTTTTTCCGTTTGTTCATTTCTACACTGGTGAGACCCACAGGTATCCTTCAGGCTGGAGCAGTCCCAGCAGCAGAAAACTGGCAGTTGTGGAGCACCTTTTCCTGCCAGTACTTAACATTGCCAAGAACTAAGCAGCTGATAATACATGCTTACATGCCAATGGTACACTTCTGCACAGTCCAGTGGTTTCTTTTGGTAAGGGCACTGCTGGAAGTCTTGTTGCCATGGTATGTGAACAGGACAGACTTCTCCATAGCAGACAGCATCTACCTTTCCCTTTGCCTCCTACTGTCGCTGACTTCAGTGGAGCATGTTTGTCACCATTTACTGACTTACGTGAAGGGAACTAATTTTTTTCCAGTTAAAAATCAAATAGTCAAGAGAACCGCTTTGTTTTGTCTAGGTACAAAATGCTTGCCCTGCCAAAGCAAATAAACACATGAATAAATATCTTGAACTTTTCTACACAAGTCAGTGGTGACATCCCTCTTAATTTTAACTTCATATACGCACTGATGGGGAGAGACAACTTTTATTTTACAGTCTTGAAGATTAAGGCTCAGAAGCAACCCCCAAAGCATTCTTACCCATTTTACAAACACAGAAACTGAGACACAGAGAGCTTACATGAATTATTTTAAGTCACAGAGATTCAGCAGAGGAAAACACAATCCATCAATCCTAATATTTAATCACTTTCTGTAACTACTGGACTCGTGTTCTTATTTTAAAATTCACAGTAATCCTCTGTGTGAAGGAGGCATCACCCTGTTTTATAGATGTAGATACAGAAAGAGAAGCTGAATACAAATATTGAAACGTGGGTATCAGCCAATTTCATCTCTATATGTGCAGCTAAATAAGTATCTGCATTCCAGAAGTGCTTCAGTTCAGACATTCAAGTTTGAAAATGCTAGTTAAACCAGACAACTTCTGTGTTTGTGGTTTTTAAATATATATAGAAAGAAATGCATTCTGACCTTCATGGATATGTCCAAAAACATGAAGCCTTGGCTGTATTCGTCTCTGGACTGTGTTCAGCAGCTCAACACATCCTACCCGTTGCATTTTCTTAGGAACCCAGTCTAGAAAACCTTTGGAAAAGAAAGGAAACCTTTAAAAGAAGACAGGTTATCTGGCAAGCTCTACTGCTATAGAGTATTTCTGAGATTTCATGTCTCGTGGCTTTTCATAAGCAGCCATAGAAGAATTGACATGGAAGAAACAGTGTTTGCCTTGGCAAGCAGAAGGGGAAGGAAGGAAAAACACTTGAGGAAAACCATAGAAGCTCATCTGAAGATAAAGGACTATGATAACTCTTGCCAGTTGTTTTTCCGAAGAAAAAAAAAGGAAAAAAAAATCACTGCAATTAAAGCATTTTTGTGCTGCTGATGGGAAAACTCAACGCTTTATCCATTCTTCTTCCTTTAAGAGAGCAAGGTGTAAAGAGCAGTATGTCCAAAGTGAGTCTCTAACGAATCTAAATCAACATTTAGCTATTTAAATCTAGTCCTGGGATCTAGTTTTTAAAATTGAACACTTTAACTGATGTAATGGAATCTGCATTGCTAATCATAAACCTACAGTGTTATCACATTGAAACTTACAGTTGTGGAACTCAGGTGAGGAACCCACAGCACGCCTAAAAACAACATCCTCAAGTAAGACTGGTTTAAGCACTTCATGACACAGCAAGCCCCACTACCTTAAATCTATGAACCTCAGATAGGAAGAGAAACTAAGCCCTTCTGCAGTAGATGTTCTTAAGTGCTACATCTATTTGCACAGTTTGTATAAAAATGCATTTTTTATGAATACGGACAAAAACGTACACCAACTTGCTTATATGTCTAAAAACATACTGCAGGGGGATGCTTACTGCCAACTGAAGTCTCGTGTTTCCTTCAATGTAGTAGTACAAGAAGGACGTTGTTTTATTAGAGGGTTTGTAACCACTCTTGTTTTCCTTCTATTGTTCTGCCATTTTCATCAGGCTCAAATCTGGAAACCTAAAAGATATAATCATTCTGTCTTTTTTTAGTGGTTCTGGTACTTTCCCTGTGTGCCTCTCATAGCTTTGTATCTCTGACTTAGGTTGCTGCAATACCGTGAATATATTGTGCCTTTGAGAAAACGCTAGTCAGCCAGAGAGGTATAGAGTACAGACCTAGTTTTCATATGTTTACTTTTGAGGTCCGCTCAAGCATGGCTAAATAGCAGCTAACCAACTGGCTTAAAAGACCGGAGCTGTGGTATTCAAGCTCTTGGAAAAGCTCTCAGATTTGCTAGAGCTTCAGGGTAGGTTCACGCATTGAGAAATACCTCTTTAGATGCCAGTGCTTGAAAAACAGGCTCAGTATACCGTAGGCTTTTATGAAAATGGTAAAAATTTGCCCTTGTATCATGGTTACTCAGAGAGCTAAGTCCAATTTTCAGAAATGAGTTGGGAATGCAGTATCCTAAGTGTCAAAAAGAGGACGTTCTGATAATGGCCATAGAATCCTAATTCATTCAAACACCTCCGAAGACTCTGCGTGGCTCCTGTCAGGGGATATACAAAGAGAAAGCCCCGCTGAATTACAGACAAAGCAGAGCAATGCTCGGTTCTGGTAACTGATTTTACCAGTCACTCTTGGTATCCAACACAGGCCAAAATTCACTGTAGGAAATAAGTTTTTAAGATGTCAAAGTGCAGCCAGCAACTCCTCTGGAATCCAGTCATGCTTTTTTCAGAGCAAACGTGTTATAACCATAGGTTTTGTTACTTCAGTGATTTGAAACAGTTAATTGTCAAAATGTTTGTGGTGAATGTAAAGCCTAAAGTATTTCCACTTCAAAAACTTCGCAAACAAAAATCCATAAAATTAACTTCTCCATTAAATTAAGCATTATTTATGTTGAACATGTTTTTGTTTACATGCATTATCACCCTTCTGAAGCTTTCCCATATGTTTGCAGCTTATTATGTACACCTGACTACACAAACTAAGAATAATTGATTACACCTAGCTAACAATTAGAGTTCATCTTAGGGTTTTTTTAATGTTTGGTTACTTGAAACAGGTTTCTGCAGCTGTCAGGAAAGTATAAATCTTTGTCACAGACAATCAAGCAGACAGCTACAAATGAAGACTTAAAGGTGAAATTAAATTAAAAACAAAGAAAAGAACAGTGAACTTCTTGAAGAGAAATAAAAGAATCACAAATGCAGATCTTCAGGAATCAGGGAAAAGACTTTAAAAGTTATACTATACACAAAAGTAACAAAAATATGCTGATATAGAAATAAGCATTAGCACTGATTCCATAACCATGAATACTACATTTCATAAGCTATGAAATATATGGCATATCTTTATTAATAATAAATGGGTTACTGATAAAATGGTCAATAATAGCTGTTTTAACCTTTGTTTTCTCATCCTGTGTGAACCTCCTGTGTATCCCTGCCCTGGTTTCATCCCAAAGCACTACTCTAAAAGAGAAGAAAATATATTACTCAGATTTTTGTTACGTGCCTAACTGACTTAGAAACACAAAGTCCATTAACTCTTAGTGGTGCTTCTGTATCTAAATCACGCAGGCAATTTTAAATCTATCTAATAATGTAGTATTAATCAGTTCAGGAGGATGCGCGCTCTTTTGAAGTGAGGGAATGAGAAAGCAGCACAGAAAATGGATGATGGACAGAATTTAGGCAGCCATGCTGGAGAAAAAAAGAGGAATTTGCAAGAGCACTGATTGCTATTTATGATCATTAGGAACAGCTCTAGTGATGCTGTCCAAGATCAGAACAACAGTAATCAGCTTTCTGGTTAAAATAATTGCCTGGGATGGTCAAGGAGGATCCTGTCTCCCAAAACGCCCGTGGACAGAGCTACACAATAAGCAGGTCCTGTAAGTTAGGCAGAGTGCTCATTTCTTCTGAAGCGTCATATATTTGTTGCCATGGCTGTCAGGGAGACCAACAGGTGATACCCTCAAGCAGAGGGTTCTGTGCCTGAGCCATCTCTTAATGCATCAATAAGGAAAAGACAAAGAAACGGGAACTTTTGAAAAAGAAAATCCTTGGGAGGATGGCAGAAGCTTAAGAATTCAAAAAAGAGAGAACAAATACTGAAATTTGGAGATGGGGGGACTTCACGTTACCCCATCACAGTCAGTGGAGATGGGTGGCTCTTCCCCAGAATTACTAAAATTATTAAATTACTTTTCAATTATTAAATTTACTATTAAATTTATTATTAAAGCATGTCTGTTGAGTGCCAGCTCAGCAGTGCTCTCTGGAGGTTCTCCTCCCTCTGCTGATCCCAGAGGCTGCCTGGAGAAGCCTGGTGGCTAAATTAGCAAGGTGGCTGAAGCTGGGTGGTGCAAACCCCTCTTTCCACCTTCCTACACTGGATTTCAAGTGCTAGATACAGGGGTATTCTTTGGATCAGCTGAAGGTTGGATTTCTTTACAGCTGATCAGCTGGCTTTAAAAATGGCTTTAAAAGTGCTGAAAAGGCTTCTGAAAATAGATAAAACTATATCAAACATCCAGCATCATGCCTTGGATCCTAACAGCGATTATCTCCAGTACTAACCATTTGGAGCTGATACCTCAAGGTCTAAACAATTAATTTCTGCCATCCACTTTTACGATACAGGTCCATTTCAAAATCAGTCTATGGCACGGCATGAGACTCCACTTAGGTGAAGTATCAAAACACACATCCTTACTGTGAGAAACCGTGCTCACAAAGAAGCCCTTTCGCCCAGGATTAGTGAGCAGTGGAATGCAAACATGTCTTTCTAAAGAAAACAACAAAACACAAACCCTTTAGATACTTTCTCCTCCAAGCGCTGAAAGAGGAGAAGAAAGAGTGGAAGACAAGGGGGTTTTAGCCTCAGGAAACTGGGGAATCTAAAGGTTTAAAGAAACCAACTGCCTTCATTTCACACAAAGCACTCCTCCGCAGTAAGACTCAGCAGAACCCTTAAGTACATGCTTCACTTTCGTGTCCATTTATTAAATTAGTGAGAGTTAAACACATAGTTCCATTAAATATAGCTTCCTATATGTTAAATGCATTGAAAAACATGTTAAAAGCCTTAAGCCTTTACTGAATCTGACAAGTTTCTGTGATTATGTTATTGCCGTAACGCAGATAATTTCACTATTATCTAGGAATACAAGAAATCTCTCCTGGCTTTTGCATCACCTATATTAATATTTGTAAAACACAAATGCAGAACTATTTCTTGTTGGTCTGCTAGTGTTGCCAGATTGTATTAAAGATAAGCAATTCACCCACACTGTCCAAAGAACAGGCAAACAATGGCAGCATTTGGGTTTGTGAAGCAGAAGATGCACCAAGTCAGCATGATGAGGAAAAATACAGACTCTGGGTACTTGCTGGTGGGGGAATGCTACTGCCAGTGAGGGAGAAAGATAGTGCTTTAAAAGTAAGATCCCAATCCTGAATTTCTCTTCAAGCAGTCTCCATGCTTCAAATCTACTAATTTCACCAGTGGCAGAGTGGACAGATGCATAAAAAAACTAGACCTTGCTTATTTATAAAGCTCATTAAGGCTTTATGTGTTAAGGCTTTATTTTTTTAAGCCACTATTTAATTCCCTACCGCTTAGCATAGGTAATCATGAAACATAAACCTGAGCTGAAGTCCTGGTGCTGCTGAAATCAGTACAGATGTTACTTTTGACTTTTGTAAGTCAGGATTGCACCCTTGCACCCTTTGTCTAAGGAGAGCCATCAGTTACCGTATAATCATCTGAAATACACAGCTAGAGCACTAGTATTTTCTTACCGAGAGGTGGTCCATGTGTTATAAGAATATCTATTCCATCTGGAATAAGGTTCCATTTCTCTAATAGTGCTTGGCCTCGTGGAAGATTAAAGCCCCAGCCATAAAACCAAGGTTGCCTGCCAAGAGAGGAGGAGAATGTCTTCAGTGCTACTTCCATGTACTGGTTATCTAATTAAAATACGAAGATTGACTCTCTACTATCATGGAATTTGGAGACACAAATAGCATTCATTTTCTTCTTTGTGTGCACAGTAAAACCCTTTTTACATACAGCCAGTGTTATTTAACTTGTGTGGCAAATCAGTGCAGACCTTACCACTTTCAGTAGGCAGCATACAGTAAAATATTCACAGTATTCCTCTAACTAGGTGAAAAATAACTCTTACAAGACCTGGATACCAAGACCTCCATGTGTGGATTAGCATGCTGGGCTCCCACAACATCTAGAAGAACACCTGTCCCAGATAGCTAGGTGTGGATATACATTTCACATTGGCTCCCGTCACATTTGGCCCTTAGCCTATGACCAGCTGGGCAAGGACAGACCCTGGCACAACGACAGATTCCGCTCCAAAGTTGGAGACATCATCTATGCTGTTTTGTTTCCCTAATTGGAAGCATCCCGTCAGAACAAGAATACTGCTTCTTTTCTTACATATAATTTTCTTCTGTCCTATCGTGTGTTGACTTTCCATATTCAGGATTTCTTATCAGACAGGCATTTACATTTTTTAAAACATATTTATGAAGCAGCTCATCATGGAGCAGTGGGACTGTAGCACTGCCAGTCAGAACACAATTTTTCATATCTTGCTATCCCATTGATTAAAAAACTGTATTTCACAGCAATTATATCACAGTGGTAAATTATGTCTTGCTGACTATGCTCTAATTCTAGGTCATAAAATTGAGGGGTTAGTTTTAAGTTGGAATTTTTTTATAATTTTTTGACTGACGTGTTCTGGCCATATCCATATTTGGAGAACAACAAATAGGCTGCTGTGATTTAATAAGGTTTATGATAATTGCAGCCTTAGTGTTTATAAATACATACACATCAACCAGAGTTCCCTTTGACATGTTACTTTGTTGAGGAAAGCTTTAAACTCCCTCACCGCATCAAAAGACAGAAAGAATTCTTTCAAACAAATTCTCTGAACTCCACTTTACATCATGTATGGCAAAGACAAAAGAAAATGCCCATAAAGCTATTATTCATCCTCTTCCATTACTGATGCTTGACTAACATTTCAAAAATTAGCACGTCTGCAATCTTCATGATGATATATTTCCCACTTTTCCTTTTGGAATGCTGTAAAGCACATGTCTATTGAAAACAGCTTAAAAAATAGAGCTTGCGAAAATATAAAGGGATGCGGCTTACCCGAGAGAAGAAAAGACAATTCTGTTACAAGGAAAGGAAGAAGGGGGCTTTGCAGAATGTTTCCTGCCTTTCTTCCACAGATAAAAAAAGCCTCAATATTTCTAGACAGATGACTGAAGGGCTTTCTGTGTCCACAGCTAAGAGCTCACCTCCTAGCTCTTCATCACACAGAGCCTGGATAAACGGGGTCTGGATAAACAGGTGTCCCACGGAGGGGGAAAAAAAAAAAAGGTGAAACTTTGTACATCTGCCACTGGGACCAGAAATACGTTCCAGCCTCCAGAAGCTGTGATGAGGGAGGTGAAGAAGCTGTGTGAAGAAGAGATGCCAATAGCAGTAGCAATGAAGCGGAAACCTTGTTCTGAGTCAGGTTGCTCAGACCAGGGCGGCTGGCTGAGAAAAAGACATATCCCTGTATCAGAGATAGGAAATCACACTTTTCTGGTTACTTGTTCATCTCCTAGCAGCCTTTCCTCATAGGAAGAACAGCAACAGCACCTGGCTCACAGGTACATGACTTCTCACCTTCCTGCTGCTGGGGTAGTAACCCACGGTCTAGTTACTGGCTTATTTCATGGTAAGCTACCGGCGACGTTCCTGTACAACACTGTCACGCAGAACCACACCACAGTCTGTGGAGTTTGATCAGCCTGTCTTTACGTTCAGCTCACCATTGACAGAATGGGAGT